TGGGCAAAAGAAGAGAGAAACATCTGAATACAAGAGCAAACTCTGCCGTGAGTATGGGTGTACTCAGGTGTGGCTGCATCTCCATGAAGTGCATTATTTCTCTTCCACCAGAATGTGACTTTGAAGAAAATCATCTCTGTGGCTTTGTGAACCGCTGGAATCCCAACGTGAACTGGTTTATTGGAGGAGGAAATACTCGGAACTCCCACTCCATTCTCCCACAGGATCACACCCTCAAGAGTGAATTGGGTGAGCTGGGGACAAATGGAGTCCTTTTCCCAGGATAAATTTTTCTGCCATCTCCTCTCACTCCTCACATTGACCTAACTGTGGCTCTGTCAACAGAGAAAGAGGAGGGAGGAAGGTGATTAGGGACTGGGAGGCCTGAAAAAAGGTTAGAGAAGAGCAAACCGTAAGGTAGAAACTGCAGACGCGAGTCCTGTAAATAAGAAGAAGACCACCCAGTTAAAGGATCTTCTTCACCTGTGACCTGGTCTTGCTATTTTCACATTTCCATATAATGCTTTACTTTCTTATCTAGTTGTTGTTTACTATTTGATATGGATTACATTGTTTGTCCCCCAAGTTTTATGTATTAAAAGCTTGATCCCCACTGTGACTGTTAAGAGGGCAGGAAATGCTACTATGGTAATTGAAAGGTGGGGCCTTGAAGAGGTGATTGGACGGTAAGGACGGCATCGTTATGAATGGATTGATCCCTTCTTGGAATAATGGGAGAGGTTCTGGTGGCTTTAAAGGGAGAGTAACTGAGGAGATTAGTCTCTCTTTGCTTTTGCTGTCTCACAATGTGATACCCTGTGTCGCTGAAGCCACCACCTAGCAAGACCCTCACCAGATGCATTCCCTGGACTTTGGACTTCCCAGCCTCAGAAACTGTAAGCAATAAATTATGTTTTCTTACAAAGTACCCAGTTCCAAATATTTTGTTATAAGCAACAAAAAACGGACTAATACACTAATTTCTTACTTCAAAACACAAGGCTGGAATAATCCCAGGTTACTAAATCCCAGGTTTGCCCAAGTGGTAGAGATGAGCCAATACTGACAATTAACTCAGCATGTGGTGTGCAACAGGGCCCCCTAGTGGCCAGTAGGCTTGTTCTCTGGAAGGAAAGTGCGGAAGTGAGGTTGAGTTAGCAGAGACAAGGTCAAGGACTCACTCACCTGTGGGCCATCACTACTCTCGCCTGGACCTTGGTGGGCTTTGTAGAAGCCTAGTTCTCCCCACAGTTGCAAGACATTCCAGTCCTCAACTCCAAGGTCTTCTCCAAGTAATGAGAAGATTCTGGGGGCTGGCTTTCCAACAAGAATAGGAATTTTGGTTCTGCAGCAACTTTTTCTCTTTTGATCCTTTTCCATGTGGATACTGAGATGATCTATTCAATACCAATAAATTGCTGATGATGACAGTGTGTCCCCATGCCTGAACACATGACGACTTTTTATGGTTCTTTCATTTTGTCCTCATTCACTGTAGTTTCTCTTCATTTGAATATTTTAAATCATAGCTTCAACTTTTTTTTCAGACGCACCCATCTTGCAGCTTATCTTAGCTCTGATAGTCTTCATCTCGATCTTATTGTACTCTTGGCTCCTATTCTGTCTCCTTCATTATATCCAGAGCCTCAGACTCAATTTCCTACAGGGGCCAGGCAGATGGTAAAAGCAAGTGACATGTGGGCTGGGTAAAGACTGTGGCAAGCTAGAGAAAAGAGACCCTGTGCAAAGACTACTCAGCTCCAGTGAATTGCCGCCATGTGAGAATGCAAGCCCAGGTTACCAGACTTTCTGATTTTTCAGCATCATCAGCAAGACATAGTTTTTATTTGAAATTTCCCAAATTTTTCAAAGCCAGTGAATAGTTTCTAAAAAACACTGTGTGGGTTAACAAAACACATCTGCAGGTCAGACCCAGCTGGCCAACTTCTGTTTTGCAACCTTTATTTTATAGGTTCCTTTTCTTCTTCAACATGTCCAGGCTTCTTAGAACAAAATGCTTACAAGTAACCACATATAGAGAGTGGAGTCTTGTGCAGCTTACCTGTTTAAGACAAACCCAACTTTGGATCTAGTGTTCACATTCATTTGACCCTGCATTAGGTATGATGTGAAAAATGACAAGTGTCCATGGACCCTTCCCAGCTTTAAGGAACATATATTCGAGAAAGGGAGATTTCTACCACGAATGGATGTAACACAAGGTAGTATATGTCAAGTGTTATAGCAGTGGTCCCCCTCCACCCAAAAAAGAAAGGTGTTGGGTATTCAGAGACAAAAGAGATCACTTACTGTTTGGATGTCCTAGAAGACATGATAAAAGAAGTAATTTGCATTTGAAGGGTGGATATGATTTTGATAGGCAGAGACAAGCAAGGGCAGGAGCAATGATACAGTGGTGGCAATTACAAGGGGGAGTGATGTCATGATCTAGTAATTACTTACTCAGTGTGCCAGTTTTCTTCTGCAGTGATGGTAAGGGCCAGCTGGGGAGAGCACGTATTTCTTGGGAGAGGCAACAGACTTGTGGATTAGTGTCGAATCATTCATTTCACTATGTTACCTGAATGCAATCTATCCCTTGAAGAGGTAATACCCCTAGTCCTTCATGCTCATCTGTGACCATAGAACATCTGGCCATATTTGTGTCACTGAGGGATCAAGAAAGAGCAACAGGCTAGGAGTTGAAATGCCTGTGCTCCAGGCCGGCTGTCAGAGTACTGTACTGCCTTGAGCAATCCCATAACTTCTCAGGGTCTCCACTGGCCTGTTTGCAAACGTGGAATTTGGATTTGATGATCTCTAAAATGTTTTTGAGTTCTAGTATTTCACTCTTCTCTCTTTGCTACTGGTATACATCAAAACCTCCAAATTCATCACCCCCTGAGATTTATTTTAGAAATGTTTTGTGTTTCTCCTGAGTAATTCAAGCATGTTGCATTTGACATTAGAAAAAAAGAAGGACTAAAGGGACTGAGGAATGAGAAAAAGAGGACCTCACTTTTCTAATGTCTTGGCCAGAAGGGTCAAGGGGTAAGCATAGCAGCATGGTCATCCCTGAGGAGCACTGACTTTTGGACTGATGTTTCATCCGTTCACTAGCCAACAGCCCTCTCACTCCCACTCAACACACACACACACACACACACACACACACACACACACCAAATTCTTGTCTAATGATGGAATGGCCAAAATAACGTAATAAGAATTGTGGTGGGAGATCTTTGGAATACTGGAGGGGATGTGATTTTATCCTGTTTTGTCTTGCTGAATTCTGATTCATTGCATCTGGGTTTCTTTCTTCGTTCACATTTTATGAAGTGAAACAAAATCTTTCAGGAGGTAACCTCCTGCCAGCTCAGATCATGATGGTTTTCTACATGCCTTAGCAAAAAGATAATTGCTGGAAAAATAATGATGGAAATTCATTTCTTTGCTGCAATTTTTAAAATCAAGCCTGCTTATGGTGTCACTCTGACAGCTCAGATCATGATGGTTTTCTACATGCCTTAGCAAAAAGATAATTGCTGGAAAAATACTGATGGAAATTCATTTCTTTGCTGCAATTTTTAAAATCAAGCCTGCTTATGGTGTCACTCTGGAAGTAGTTGGGCAAGGTTTCAAGACCTAAGATAAGGTCAGAATTATTTTATTCCGTCAAAGACCATGAGATGGATGGATCATCTTAACAGCACCTATTCATTTGCTCTCTGCATTAATAATCCATTTGGTTCAAAGCATAAGCGCTCAGTAGGGAAGCAGCTTTATTAATTTTCTTACTCTTGCCTTTGTGCAAACTCTGCTGGATCTCCTTTTCCTGTCCTTGGATGACTTTCTATATCTTTCCAGTCACTTTCAGATATTAATGAACAGCCTCATTTTCAAGGGTTAAGTTCAGACAAGTCTCATCCAATTCAGATCTTCCCCCAGACTAGACCACGGAGCAGCAGTGGAGAGAAAGTTTTGTATTTTGTCTCTTCATTTGTCTCCACCTTTCTCTTACCCTCCTCTTCTCTCACTCACTGTGCTGCTTCTGGCGCCGTCAGGGTGTGGGAGGCTTGCTGGGGGATGGGGCAGAAAGGAAAGGGCCAGGGAAGAAAGTTTTACTTACCTGGTGCTCTTTACCCTGGAGTTCATGTCCTTCACGTAGGTGGCCAAATTCTGGCCATTCTGTCACGGCCCATGGGGAATCCCACCTTACTGTTCCCAGACAGGGACGATGCCCTCTCTGGCTGACCATCTGTGAATCCCCCTTAGGTCATGGTACACCTGCCCGCCCCTTTCCATTTGACTTACCATGCTGGCAGGCAGCCCTCTAGAGAAAGGTACTGTAGCCAAGCTACCTTCCAAATTGCTCACTTAAGCTAAGGGAAAACTCAGTATCTTTGCCCCGTTGAACTGTGGACATGCATCTCACTAGCAACAAAATCCTCCTTTTCTGCTCTGCCCTACAGGTCCCTCAGTCAGCTGCTGGCCTCTACATGTATGCAGTCAAGTGGCAGGCACCAGTCTTGGTGCCCCACAAACTTCAATTGTCTCTGATCAAGTTCCCTCAAGAACTATGACCACCCTCACCTCCAGGCCCAAGGCAATTGCAGAGCCCAGAAATTTCTGCACATATGGGAAGGGATGAGGTTACATGGCCGTTTCCCTCCTCCACTTATTCCATGAATGGTTCCCTTAAACCCCTTCCTTTGGGTCAAGGTAAGAAAGGGGAGGCAATCTCCTTCCCTTCCCTTGAGACGTCAAAAGGAAACACATAAGGTGAGCTCCATGACAGCTCTCTTCAAAGAAGCCCTGTTTCCAGTCTCTCTGGTCCACTTCTAGCCTTCTCATGTATGCAGGCTGGAGGGGGACATGGGCTAACACTGGTAGAGCTGGCTTAGATGCCAAGTGCTGCCACTCAGCATGGTGATGGTCTACACCACCCTTTAGAAAGTAGAGGTCCTTGTCACCTGTTCTTGAATTTGAGGTCTCAGCAGACACTAGGAGAAGTCCTACTTAAGTTATTTACATTTACACTGCCCTTGAAACCTGTATTAAAAGACTAGAGGCTGACTCCAGTATAGTAAAAGCCACCAGACCCCTAGAACTAAAGGTTCGTGAAGCTGACTGTTGGCTTCATGGAGGGGAAAGCTGGGGTGTTAACTTGATGTCTGTGGGTGCTGTCTCCTCACTGTGGCAGCAGACCAGGGGGCATGACCATCTGACATGCATTTCTTCAGCCCAAGTTGTCTTCCTTACCGGGGAGACTGCTTGTCCAGACAACCAGCAACACTGAAACACACAACGCAACAGAGTACAAATGTGGCCAATGGGGCCGAGTCACATCTGAGTCAGAGGATGCCTTTGGCATCATGGCTGAGCCAAGAGCAATCTCTGGGGAATGCTGGTTAGCCAGACTGAAAATAAACGTTCAGGAACTGCCCTCAAAGTTCTTTGTCTAACCCAAGGGGAAACGGCTGACTACCAGGGGCTGCTGCTTGCACATGAAAAGTCTAGCTAACACAGAGGCTGCTGCAGGAAAGGAAGGAAGTCTTCTTCAGAAACAAGCATGCAATACATCACTGTAGGCATTGTCCTGGAAGAAGCCTGACCTTGGGCTGGCGTTACTGAGAACTGTGATCTTTCCATTGAGTTTGAAATTATTTTTTTCCTAGAAACCTTGTTTAAAATCCAGAATTAGGTAGTAATAGATTGATTTCCAGTGTGTGTGTGGCAAATCAGCATGGACTGTAGAAGAGTGGCAATAAACTTTTCAGTTCTTAAGCTTGTGGGGAACCCATTGCCCCCCCATATAGTCTCATTTTCAGCTAAAGCTTTAATACTTTAAAATCTCTGTGGCCTGCAGGATCCCCAATGATTTGGTTGACTATAGGATCCCGTCTACCTAAAGTTCATCTATATACCTAATTTCATCCTACTCAAATCTTAAAGATCTGATAAAAATTGCCTCTCCTAGAGGTTCTGGAAGCTCTAGAACCCTGGGCCAGATAGGAGGGTTGGTCTCATTGAACTGGCCAGGGAAATTCTCATAATGCCAGACACAGGATGTAATTTCCCAAGAACTCCAGGCCACCTTCTTTATTCTCCTTGGAAAGAAGCATAAAATGGCACCTGCACCCAACCAACTGTTGGCTCCCCTTCCTCAGTGCAGATTGTACCCAATGACATACTCAGCCTGGGTTGGTTGTCATTCCTCCAGCCCAGCCTCCTGGGGCAGACACCTGAATGGTGATTTCTGAATCATCCCCCTCCCTTCAGCTGAGATGATAAACGTGTGATGAGCTACCTTATGTTTCCCAGTGAGAAACTTCGTGTTACTCAGATTGTCAGTAAACAGCACCCAACTTTGTCAACAAACAAATGATGGAGAGGAAAAGGGGGCAACACACTGTGGTCTCGTCTAGTGGTTCCGTGTGAGACTTGGTGTCAGCAGTCTTGTCTGATTCTCAGCAGCCTCTCTGACTCACTTTGGGCAGGTCACATTGTGTTTGCTGGATGCTTTCTGGATCACAGATTTGATTGTGGTTTACTTGGCCTAGCATCTTGAGCATGAGTTGTTATTGAGGCACTTTGACTGCAAATGCACAGATTAAAATATTGTCCACACAGCAGGTGAGTAATTGTCCTTTGAAGAAGACTATCAGATGTCTGTCAACTGCAAGAAAAATGAATTTGTGATGGGGCTGGGTTTGAGAAGTTTCTCTAGGTCAGCACAGTTATTGCGCACTCAGAAATGGAATGTATAGTTTCAAGTGGATTTGTGAAGTTTCTCAGACTCACTGAGAGTCTCCTGGAATCTTTGGAGATAGCTGCTCCTCTCCGTGGGCGGTGTGATTTCCCTGTGCATAGCTGTGTCAGTTTGGGTCCTCCAAGAAGCAGACCCTGAGCGAGTAGGTAGGAAAGGGATTTATTGAGGGAAGTGGCTGTGAAGGACTAAGGAAGAAGGAGCCACAGTAGCTGGGACGGGACCAAAGTACTCATAAGACACAGTAGGCACAGTGTCTAAGAGCCACGACATTTAAAAATGTTTTAATTTTATTTATTTTAAAATCAGAAGGAAAAAATGAATATAATAATAACAAATATAATAATAACAAATTAAGCCTAGATTTATACCAATGCAGTCATAAAGTAAAATTTTAAATATTTTTTTATAGAGGAATGGGCCCATAGCTGTGAAAGTATTTAGGGCCCACAAAAGTCATAAAGTGGTCCTGGGTGGGGACAGCCTTCAGTACAGGATGCAAATCTGACTCCTGAGGAAGAGGAGAGGCCAGGTTAATGGGGAGTTGCTGAAGAATCCCACGTCAGGTGGAATGGCCCTGCTCTGGTACCTGCACTATGTCCGGACACTAGCTGGGAGCAGCCCAGAGTAGTGTGGCCTTGGTACAAACCCAGTCAGGTGTCTCAGCCCATCCCTGGTGAGGCAGCTAGACATTTGTCAATCAGTTATGGTCCCAGCAGCAAGCTCTCCTGAAGGAGATCTCAGTGCCCCACTTTATGGCCCCCACAATGAGGTATCAAGAAAGCAAAGTATAATAGCTCTCCTCCACTCAGGCCTACCTGAAAAGGGATTCTGGGTCATTGGTAAGACATTTTACAAAGGGCAATGAACTTCATCTCTGCCTTTTTTTTTTTTTTTTTTTTGTCTTTTTTTGTGTCCGGCAACGGATCGCAACCCTCAGTGTCGCGCCCGTACCAGACCGGGACCGGCAACGGGATGGCAACCTTCGGTGTTGCGCCCGCACCTCGCTCAGCCAGTGAGCGGGAACCGGTCTGTATGTGGGATCCGAACCCTCGGCGGGAGCGCCGCCTTGTTATGGACCGGATTGTGTTTCCTCCCCAAATTCCTGTATTGAGGTCCTAAACACCAGTACCTCAAAATGTGATGGTACAGCTGACCCTTGAATAACTTGGGGCTTAGCGGAACCGACCCTTCCCCTTCGTGCAGTTGTAAATCCATGTAAAACTTTCCCAGCATAGTTACTTAAGTAGTTAAGCAATTTGAATAGTTAAGTACTTAAGTAGTTGGCCCTGTGGAACTGTACATAAGAAAAGTCGGAGGTTCCACATCTCACAAATACTGTATTTTCAGTCCTTGGAGGTGGAACCCCAGTTTAAGTAGAACCACACAGTTCAAACCCTTGTTGTTCAAGAGTCATCTGTTTTTGTAAAAAGGTCCTTAAAGAAGTAATTAAGTCAAAATGAGATCACAAGGGTGGGTCCTAACTCAATATGATTGGTGTCTTCAGAAGAAGAGGAAATTTGGAGAAGGACACATACAGAGAGAAGACAAAGTGAGGACACAGGAGAAGACAGCCGTGTACAAGTCAAGGAGAGAGGCCTGGGACACATCCTGACCTCATGGCCCTCAGAAGAAACCAACCCTGCTGACACCTCAATTTTTGGACTTCCAGCCTCCAGAACAGGGCAACAATACATTTCTGCTCTTTAAGTCACCCAGTTCGTGGTACTTTGTTACAGCAGCTCTAGCAAACTAATATAGGGAGCATTATTTAAAACTTAAGAGATTAGTCATAAAAACCTGGATTTCAGGCTTCAGTGGGAAAAACCTGTGGCACTGGGCTGGACGTCAGGGCAACATCTGTGAGAAGAGGCTGCCTGCTTAGGGACAGGCTGCAGGGACTAGGGTTTCTTAGCACCAACTGGTTGTGCCACGTGAGAGTATGAGCCCAGAGCTATCAGATTTTTTGATTTTTCCAGAGATTTTCTGTTTCTCATTGCTGGGGTACAGTATTTGTGCACTTCTGTTGCTTATAACAAAATACTTGGAACTGGGTGATTATAAAGAAAACAAAATTTATTGCTTACGGTTTCAGAGGTTGGGAAATCTGAAGTCCAGAGAACACAGCTGGTGAGACCTCGGTCGTGGTGACAGTGGCCCAGAGGTCTCACATGGCAGAATGGGGGGGCAGAGAGAAAGAGTAACCTCCTCATGCACTCTCCTTGTAGAGCCCTCAGAACCACGCCCCTGACCACCATTATTAATCCATTCACTAGGGCATAGTCCTCACCATCTCATCACCTCTTCAAGGCCCCAAGTTTCAATGACCATAATAGGATTTCCCACCCTCAAAGTTACAGTGGGGATTAAGTTTGGGGGGGACATTCAACCAAGGCAGGAACTATGATTTCAAATGCTGGTCTTTTCTTCCTGACCCAGTCTGCTTCACTCATACGTGTAATCTGGCTGGCTCCTCTGAGCATCTGAGTTTGTATCTCTGTTTATTCACAGTTGCATGGCTTGGCATTATGATAAGAGAAATTATATTTAAACAAGGAAGATTATTCAGAGGATTGAGCAATTTGCCACCAGGAGAAATTGAACTTTGATCTCTCCTTCCCTCCTCAGATATGTTGGCAGGGGGGACCTTTCTGAGACCGTATTCATGCTTTGAATAACCCTGTGTCCAGGGCTTACCACAGACCAGGCAGTGTGCTAGATGAAAAGCCAATGTCTGGTGCGTGAATGCATGTATTCTTCCTAATATTCCTGCTGCTCGTTTGCTAAGAGGAAAACGAATTCTTACTAACCAAGCATCACGTGATGAAAACAAAGATATTAAGCTGTAATTGTTCCAAGCTCGTAAATGGAAAAGGCACTCTGCCAAAACTACATTGCGTAGCACTTCTCTGTCATCACTTAGATAAATTTGTACAAAATTGCTAATAATAATAGCTGCCCTTTATACAGAACAGGCTATAGGATAAGCATGGTTCTAGAATCATTAATGTCATTATTTTATTATGATTACATTAGGCAGTTACAATGTGCCGGGCACACAGTAAGCACTTTATATACATAATCTAATGTAATCTTCACATCAACTCTATGAGGGAAGTATTTGATTCTCATTCTAGAGATAAGAAAATTGAGGCCCAAGAGAATTCAGAAACTTGCTCAAAGTCACAGGGCTAGTAAGAAGTGGAGCAGAATTCAAACTCACTTCTCTTTAATGCCAAATCAGGGGTCTCCACATTCCGCCATATGGTTTCTCTGTTGCACCAAGATGCCTCTAATGGAGGCAGCCCCCGGGACGGCCCCCATGTCTGGCTGCCTGTCATTTTATTACCAGCTCCAGCAGGGGAATGACAACATCTTCTCTGTTTATACTCGGGATTTGGCGGGCCTTTATGAGGAGATCTGGAAAAGCCATTCAGGAAATCCTGCCTGGAACCTTGCAGAGGTGGAGTTCAGTGCTCCGTACCCCATGGAGGTAGGTGTGCCCTGGCCTGCCGCTCTGCAGGAGTCTGCCCGCACACAGGCATGGGGATCGGGAGGCCCTACAGTCCCCGATCCCCACAGTCTCACGGTCACCTTTCCTTTCTGCTCATCCTCAATCTTAATCTTTCTATTTCCTTCCTCAGCCCCTCCACCTCTCTCCCTTCCTCTGTGTTCCCTTCTGCCTTCCTCCCTTAGCATCTTCATTTTCATGTTATAAGGACAAATATGGAAAAAGCCAATCAGCTCGATTTCATGAGCACGCTCTCTCTCTGGACCTTGCACTTTGGTCATGGAGCGTCCAAAAGAGATCAGAAGCCTCTAAGTGAAACTCAGATCTTGAACTTCCATTCCTGCAAGCAGTTTTGAAGATTTCCCCAACTTGAGGGAATTGTCTTTCGATAAAAAATGTGACTTATTTCTGTCTTGGCAGCCTAATGTAATATAATCAGAAATAAACTTACTATGGCCCTAATTTGAAACAGGGCTTGGTGCCTTAATGTGAAAACTTTCTACACTTACGTAAGTGATAAATATCTAATGCAAAAGAATTAGAAAATTCAGGGAAGCAAAATAAATTAAAACACCCTAGGCCAACCCTACAAAGATGAGGACTACTGACGTTTTGATGTTTATCCCTGTAGACCTTTCTCTAGGCCCATATATACATTTTCTTCTTCCTTTTTTTTTTTTTTTTTGCAGCTGGCCAGTAAGGGGTCCACACTCTTGACCTTGGTGTTACTCTAATCAAGTGAGCTAACCTGCTAGCCTCTAAGCACATATCTGTATCTGTTTGTATTTCAGAACTTACAAGTACTTTCAGTACTTACCATCCAACAAAGTAGATAAAATTTACCCACATATTTATAGATGAGAAAGAAGAAAAGTGTCCAAGAAATTTGACAATTTTTTTTTCTAGTTCACACAGCTGGTGAATGCCAGAGAACTTAGAAAAGTTCCTGGACTAAAATCTGACCTAAAGCTTAGGGAGGAGGCCCAGCTCTGTCTGGTGATCCCATAAGACCTCTAGAATCGGCGGGTATAGCATTGTGGTTGCTGTAAATGTTAGACTGCTATAAGGATTTGGAGCTATAAGTAGAGTCTTATTACCAGAAGTTATTAATATCCCTCGCTCTTCACTTTGTGCTTTTTGCAATATCTTCTCCAGTCTTCTTTAAAGTACTAAAGAAGCAGATTAGTCCTCTGGAAGTTATTTGGTGGTGCCATCTGCTAGCCTGATGTAGGGCTGCAGAGAACGTTGGGGTTGGGTCTTGGTTTCTGACATGTTCTGTCTACTCATGGCGTGCCTACCAATCCCTGCACCCCCTTCCTATCCCCTCTTTTCCCCCCAAAGCCTGCCAGAGAGAGCTCAGTGCCTTTTGCAGAATGTGTGCTATTTCCTATTCTGAAGTCTGACCAGGCCTTGATTTGTTCTTGCAGCCCAGTGGAAAATTTCCTGTGAGTTTGGGTTACAAGGAGGAAAACAAATGAACGTAGTGCTTCTGAGAGTTTTCCTTCCATTAAAGCCAAATGAGTCACACACAGATACATGCCCATGGCGTTTTCTTTATCAGCTCCTCTCAGCTGACCACAAACTCCTTGGGCAACATTTGTGTGAGTGCAACTTCGCTGAACTTTAAAAAATCAGTCCTTGGAAAGTTACAATTCTGGACACTAAAAACCTCAATACACATCCTTTGGTTCCACACATGTGTGACTTTGCTCTATAGTCTGAACCTATTCTCTGGTATTATTTTCTCTTGCTAATTTTCAGGAAAAGAAACTTGTCCTGCAGAAATCAGTTAATTTAATGTCACCATACTCTCAAATGATTTTTAAAAAGGAAAACAAACACTGGAGACTATATTTTCTGAGTGAGAGAGAACACGTTGGCACACAGGCTTGATTAGCACATCCTGATCAGAAATATCATTCCTATTCCACTTGCTCAGAATGAACCAAGTCACGTTATCCACCTTAGCTAGCTAGCACCTTGAGAGCTAAATGTCACAGACCTGTGTTAAGTTTGTAAACTGAATTTGCCCCTGCTCATGTGTCCAGATTTGTTCCTTCATTCACAGCCCTTTCTCCCTTGCCAGAGGCAAACTTCCAGGGCTTCTCCTAGATTTTGGAGGGTTCAGGTACCAGATCCCCGTAGGAACATTGTTATTTGGCTGAAAGGAACCTTAAGAACCATCTCGCCCAAATGCTTTTATTCCAAAGTGAAGAAACTGAGGCTGGAGGAGAAAGGGGGCCTGCTTGAACTAATTAACGGCCAACTGGGCTCAAACCTGATTGTGAGTTCAAGAGAGTCAACCTAAAGAAAAAGTTATAAAATTAATGCAGAGCTTATTAGCTGCCTGACTCTGTGCCAGGATCTTTATATACATTATCTCATTGAATCTCCTCCACAGTCCTACAAGGTCAGTGTTATTATATCTACTTTTTAGATAAGAAGATCAAGACCCCAAGAGATTTAGTGATGTACCCAAGTGAAAATGGGATTTGAACTCTGGTCTGTCTGCCTCCACGACACTATTCTCTTCAGAAGACATTGCAAACTAGAAACCTATGAGTCAAATCTAGCCCACAGTGCTGTAACGGTTTTGTTTTGTTTGTTTGTTTTAATTTTTGAATTAGTTGCCAGCATTCGAAAGTTTGAAGATTTCAAGTAGAATCATCTAGAGATTCAGATTCTCTTGATAATTTGCTGGATTTGTTTGCTAGGGCTGCCATAATAAAATGGCACAATGTGGGCAGGTTAAAAAGCAGAAATGTAGTGTCTCACAGTTGGGGAGACCAGAAGTCCAAGATCACGATCAAGGCGTTGGCAGGATTTGCTCCTTCTGAGGACTGTGACAGAGAATTTGTCCCAGGCCTCTCTCCCACTTCTGGTGGTATGCTGGCAATCTGTGGCATTCTTTGGCTTGTAGGTCTCTGCCTTCATCTTCACGTGGCATTTACTTTTCTTTCTGCATCCAAATGTCCCCTTTTTATAAGGACATCAGTCATTGGGTTACAGGTCCATCCTACTCCAGTATAACCTTATCTTTATCAATTGCATTTGCAGTGACCCTATTCCCAAATAAGGTCACATACTGAGGTACTGGGGTCAGGACTTCAACACATGAATATTGAGAGGACACAGTTTGACCCATAACAGGCCTGACTTCCCACACATCAGCCATTGATGAAACTGAGTAACTGCCGGCCCCTTTAGACAGGGCTTGCCTTCCCCAATTCATGAGAGTCTGCGCCATCCCACTTGGTGAAGCCCCCTTCCTGCATTTATACTACCTGCCTGGCCCCTGTAGGCATTTAGGTTTCAAGCCCTGCTCCACACTGTGTCCCCATGTTATCAACTCACAGAGTGGACTGCACACCTGAGTGGTTTGCCCAGCACAAGTAAAGCCTGTGCTGACCACACCTGATCCCCATGGTCCCAGGCAGAAGGTGGTCGATTAAGCTCAGAGTTAAAGTCGGTGGCAAGGAAGAAGAGCACAGAACTAAAGGGGTTGAACTCATTAACCCATGTCCTTTCCAACCTTTGGTACATACCTGGACATGCTGAGATCAGGGTAATCATCTCTGACTCGTGCATCTTTATCCAGGCCCTCACACAGAGTTCCATGTAGGAAGAAGGGAGAGGGACTCAGGGGCTTAGCTCCCTGTGGGTGGCAGAGGGAGAACCTGGCCTGCTTTGTTCAGTGAGCCTGTTTTTCCTTTAATCAGAGTTCATAATGCTAATTAATTCTGTAGTTTTATCAGAAATGACATAGGCACTTTAGCTGACACTCAAGAAAGAGGGAAATATCCACCAGTAAAATACATTTTTATGGTTTCTGTCTTAGTCCGTTTGAGCTGCAATAACAAAATATCATGGACTCGGTAGCTTATAAATAACAGAAATTTGTTTCTCTTAGTAGTAGAGTCTGGGAGGTCCAAGATCAAGTGTTTGTTTTCTGGTTCATAGATGGTGCCTTCTTACTGTGTCCTCACATGTCCCTCAGGCCTCTTTCATAAGAGCATTAAATCACCTCCCAAAAGGCAGCTCCTAACACCATCACCTTGGGTGTTAGGATTTCAACATATGACTCTTGGTAGGGACAAACATTCAGACCCTAGCAGTTTGATTATCCCTAAAAGAGACTGTGGGTTGAGGAGGGTGCTGCCCAAAATCTTATTTTGGGGACCTGATTCCATAAGTCCTTGTAACTTGACATCACCTGGTTTGATTGACATGTCATTTTGATCATGGGTAAGTATACTAAAGCTTAACAGAAAATATGTAAAGAAGTGACAACATGTCATTTTCCTCCGCAGGTTATTTTTGAAGTTGCTTTCAATGGTCCCAAAGGAGGGTATGTTGCCCTGGATGATATTTCTTTCTCTCCTGTTCACTGCCAAAATCAGACAGGTGAGCAGTCTCTTTTTCTTCTTCCTTAGCTTTGGGATTTTTCTTTCTCTTTTGATGCCTGTGGTCAGGGCTTGCTTTAATTGCTTTTGATTTCCTCACCTTTCCTCTCATCTCATCCTTAAAAAATTATTTAACCAAATAGTCATCCTTCTGGAATATTACTTTTTTTTCCCCCCTCACCAAGTGAATCTAATTTTTCTGACATCACAGGCCAGTTGTCATATCTTAAGGAGCTTTCATCTTCCCTGCCTACTAGGAACAGAAAATTAAATAATGCTAAAACTTATTACCACCCCACTTTTCTCTTTAAAGGATATCTTGGGTCTATAGCTGGGTAGATGGAAAAAACTCTCATGATCTACTGAATAGGGTTATAAAAACTCTTTCCAACTATATGTATCCAAGATTTATAAATGTCCTCATGTTTAAAGATGTCAGTATTGGGTAGATATCTCTAGGATGGTTTTGGCTAAATATTATGTGCTGTTAATTTAATTACTTTCTGTTTCTAAGTGAGCTCTCAAATTATTTTATCATGACAAATTTTTTAATTTTGCATGGAAAGAGAGGAATTGTTTTACTTTCTGGGAAAATGGGTAAGCAAATTGATTAAAAGTAAATTAGAAAACAAATGTTTTAGAAGGATGATGATATATAATGATAACCCAGATGAATGCAATTGACCTTACTATTTCGTGAATTTGTTTCCTTGAGACACCCAGGGAAACACTGTGGTCATCTCATCTTATTAATGAGCCCTCATTCTGGGTTTGGGAGCATGGGAAATAAATTTTTGAACTTGGCCTTGTAGTCTGACTTTCACTTAAGATAGAATTGGTTTCTAATTTAATATGGTTTCAGACATATTCTACAAGCAAGGAGACTAAAAAGGAAAATATTTTCTACTTGAGCTAAACTGTTACCTCAAAATTAGAGAGAATGGGTTGGCCGGTTAGCTCAATTGTTTAGAGTATGGTGCTGATAACACCACGGTCGAGGGTTGGGATCCCTGTACTGGCCAGCTGCCAAAAAATAAATAAATAAAAATTAGAGAGAAAGCTGCTGATTTGCTGGAACTAAATATGACTTTTTTACTAATTCTAGTTAAGAAAAAAAGAAAAGAAAAGAAAGGTAGTTTAAGGAAAAAAAAATTTTTTTTTCCTTTTTGTCTTTTTTCGTGACCGGTAATGGGATCGCAACCCTCGATGTCGCGCCCGCACTGCGCTCAACCAGTGAGCAGACCGGTCTCTATATGGGATCCGAACCCTCGGCGGGAGCGCCGCCGCACTCTACCGAGTGCGCCACTGGGCCGGCCCAAGGAAAAAAATTTTTAAAAAAACAGAACCAGGCTTGATTTACATATTCTTAAATGACTTCATCCAAACAATAATAAAAGATTAAAAGAGTCTCTAAATTTGACAGAACACAGAAACCAAAGTTATTTTGCTGCCCCTTAATCCTATCCGTTAATATTTCAATTATGTTAGCAGTAATTTCACACCCTTTTTATCAGTATTTTTAGAAAGTCCCTCTTTGTCACTAGGCATTTACATTGAACTATTTCCCAGTCATATATAAGGGAGAAGAGGTGTTTATTCAATATCTGCACTGGGTAGAGGGTGGGGTGAAAAGGCCACTGGGAGGTAATAAAATCAACTGAGTCACCTTAGAAGTAATGTTCGGAAGTGCTGTCACTTTTAAAAAAGATAAGAATGTGTCTGAGCTCTTTCCTATGACACTGTAGTCTGACTGGTGAAAGGAAAAGGAAGGTTTCAGCAAAACAAGGACCATTTATTAAGAGGGCTGGTGGCCCCTTAATAAAAATACAGCCCACATAAATAAAGACCCTTTCTCTGCAGGAACGTCCACAGATATGCACTTTTACACAGTTAGGTTAACTGAGGCTCCATATCGGACTTCAGAACTTCCCACCCTACCAACTTGGTTGAAAATGGTTTAGTTGTATCATCATAGTATTATGCTCAAGAATCAGGAGTTGTGCCACTTACAAGCTGTGTGACATCAGTCGTGTTATTTAGCCTCTTTGAGACTCTGTTTCCATATCTATAGGGCAAGGATGGAAAACTCTGTTTCAGAAAGGTTTCCAGAAGATTGACGAATTAATATCTGTGACACGCAGAAGCTGCTTGGTCCTGAGACAATATTATTTATTTTATTTTCAAAATACGCCCATCTATAGTCCCTGAAGAAAAGCGGGTGAGACAGAAACTAAAGAGAAGTAGCGAAGGATACTGCCTTGCTTCCTGCGCCGGCTGCAGCCAGCCTTATGCCTTTATAGAGCAGCTGCGGGCCACGTTCTGAGCCTTCAGAAGCTGAGCCCTTTAGTTTTCCTACTTCGTCTTAAGTTTCACAGATAGTTTGTGGCCTTGTGTTTCATAACAGGTGCCAACATTTTTTCTTTATCTTGGTTAGCTCCGAACTTGATGTCTCTGCTTTTCCCAGCTGGATCTAGCATTTTCTTCTCTCCTCTTCCCAGTAGGCTGAGACAGGAATTATGTCAACATATGAGGCGTCTTGTTCCCGCCCTCTGGCTGGGCTTATGGTTAATCCAGTCTCCCATGGCATCGTCACAGGTGTCCACACCAGTGTCATGTAGCTTCCCAACTAACCCCCCAGGATGATTCCAGAGGACAGGGAGACCGCCCTTGCACTTTGAGTTACAGCACTTCCCTTTCTAGGTCTTTCCACCCACAAACTCCTCCACATCCACATTTGTCCTAGAGTCTAAACCATAGGAATAAATTCTTCTTTTGGTCTGTAAATCCTTGAATGCCTAACAGGTGATCCCATCCATTTCTAGGAATCCTGCCATAATGCCCAGCCCAAAACTGAGAGCTCCACTGCTCTGCCATATGTGGACCCACCCTCCTCTCTGGGCTTGGGTCTCTCTGCACCCAGGCCAGGGACTAGGAGGATCCTGACGCTCATGGATACGCCTCTCAGGGGATCACTTACTGAATCCCAGTGTTGGCCATTCACCAACAACACACTGCCCAGACCTCTTGTCTAGCTGAAAACCCAGCTCCAGCTGCTGCCTCGGTTACCTCTGAAGTTGCCACAGCCTTCCTTATTTTTTTATTTTATTTTATTTTTTGTCTTTATGTCTTTTTTCCGTGTCCGGCAACGGATCGCAACCCTCAGTGTTGCCCCCGTACCGGATCGGGGACCGGCAACGGGATCGCAAACCTCGGCGTTGCTCCCGCGCCTCGCTCAGCCAGTGAGCAGGAACTGGTCTGTATGTGGGATCCGAACCCTCGGGCGGGAGCGCCACCGCGCTTCCCAAGCGGCGCACTATCCAGTGCGCCACCCGGCCGGCCCAGCCTTCCTTATTTTAAACACCCCCAAGCGCCTCTGCAGCTAGTCAGCAGCCAGCACCTTGTTTCTTCACAGCTCCTCAGTCCGGTGCTAGGATCCACTCACTCTCTTCCCCAAGCCAGCGTTGAGCTGTCTCAGCCTGCCTTGGGACTGGCTCATGCTTAAATAAAACTACCCTGCAAGTTCAGCAGTCTGCAGAGCACGCTGCACCCCGTATCTCTCTCTGTAGCACTGTAGGGGCTGATGAGCCTTTTAGACTGTATGGCTGATGTTGGGTTTCTCTCTGTGCACTCCATGGAGCAGAGGAAAGAATGGGAAATGCTCGCAAATATTCATCTCAAACTGCATTACGCAAATATGCAATTACGTAATGCATTACGCTCCACCTAATTACGTTACATTTCTTTTTAGCACTGAATAATATTCCATTGTCTGGATGTACCACAGTTTATGTATCTATTCACCCACTGAAGGACATCTTGGTTACTTCCAAGTTTAGCCAGTTATAAAGGAAACTGCTATAAACTTTCAAGTTTTAGTACTACTTCCCACCCCTCCCACACACCTGATGAATGGGTTACAATTCTCTTGCACCTGCCCCAGGGTGCTGCTTAGAGACTCATTCCTGATGAGTAATTTCACTGGTCTGCTGTTCTCTTGGTGCATGGCATTTGGGAGTGCCAGGCCATTTCCTGAGCTAGACAGCCATCTGTAGGTTTTTGGATTTTCATCTATTTTTTTCATTACCAGGTAGGAGTGGGTGACTAATACTGGAGACCATAATGGGGTTTCCTGTGGTCTCAAGTCTCCAGAGGAGAATGTCAAAGATCCTTTATTTGTATGATGTCATATTCATTTTTCACAGATTTTTATCTTCAGGGCTTAAAGCTATGCCCTGGTGCTGACACAATCAGGCAGAGCAGGGTGTGGCTAATCCAGCCGTCTCAGAGCACTGAGAAGTCTCTTCATTTCCTTTTCTCCTATCTGGCTCATCCAGGTTTGCTCCTGGTGCACTTCCTAGGGCTTATCTAAGCCTGAGATACAATCAGGTTCCAGATATACAGGAACATTCTCTTCCTATTTTTTTTTTTTTTTTTTGTAATGTGTTGTTAGTCACTTACTTTTTTAAATTTAGTGTTTTTGGAATTCTTTATTTCTGTATCATTTCAAACTCAAAATTTACAAGATTGCTGTGAAGAACTCCCATATACTCATACTCTTCACCCACACCCCCCCGACACCTACAAATTGTTAACATTTTGCTGTATTTGCTTTTATCAACTTTTTAAGCTTTGAGGTTGCACCATGACCCTTTACCCTTGAATACTTAACTGCGTATTTTCTAAGACCAAACACATTCTTCAGCATAACTATAGGATAATTACGAAGTTCAGGAAATTTAATACTGATACAATATTATCAACTCACCTTCAGCCCATACATAAACCAGTCTCTCCAATTGTCCCAATAATGTCCTTTACAGATTCTTGTTTTTCAGGACCAAGATTGAATCTTAGATCCCTTGTAGCATTTGGCTGTCAGGCCTCTTTTGTCCCCTATAATCTGGGTCAGTTCCTCAGCATACTTGAATGTTTTCTTGCTTTGAAAATTGACAGATTGAGAGTATAGTGAGTCTTTGTCCCTAAACAGCTCCTGTTTCATCAGCTTAGTGCTCCAAGAAATCAAACGTTTCTCTAGAGATTATTTTCCAGTTATTCAAAAGAGTGTGCCCTCTCTCCCTGGCCCTAGAATATTAGGCATGTGTGTGTCAGCATGCAGACCAGGCCACACTTGGCTACATCGAATGTGTCCCAAACTGCTACAGTTACATCCCCTCGGGACTCACAGAGCAATATGCACAGTGAGGTTTACAAGTCACTTGTTAATAGGACTAAAAGTTATCCTCAAAAGAGCAGAAATCTTTTATGTTTCATTCCCTCCAGGCCATCGGGGCTGAAGTGATATTTATAGACCAGGGTAAGTGATACCAGAACTAAAGGAAGCCAAAACAATAGCAGTACCTGTGACTTTTGAAGTGCATGATTGATGTGACTTTTTGAACTGCATGATTTATACTGAGTGATGGTTTTCTTCAAGCAGATCAGCTTCCACAACTAATGTCAATTATAAATAGAGGCTGGGCTTCTGACACAAAGATTGATCAACAAGGGAAAATTATTTCAGAAATATATGAGAGAAATTGAGTCCCTTGAAATCCATTCCTTTTCTCTTTCTTTTAAATTTTGTATGAATAAATTTTGAATTGTGAAAAAGTATGTCAATAAATGCTCAGTTTTTATTTACATCATGAAAGGAAATTTCTTTGAAGTCTGCTACGTTATTTTTATAGAGAATGCGAACAGGGCCCTTTTCTCCCCTCCCTTTAGAGAGGAAAAGAACAATTTTTCTGTCATATTTAAACATTAGTTTGATGCTCGCCTATCAGCATGACATTCAGGTAAAAATATTTTGTTGTTTTTTACTTCTTCAGTCTCCCTTGGCACTGATGTATATGAATCTGTCAACTGGTTGATGTAGTCCTTTGAGATCTTTGGGTTTGACAGTCTTTAATTTTGGTTGTCCTTTGCTCAGCCCTTCCTTTCAGTGCCTTGGACGCAAGCTGCAATTTTGAGGAAGATCTCTGCAACTTTTACCAAGATAAAGAAGGTCCGGGTTGGGCCAGAGTGAAAGTGAAACCAAACATGTATCGAGCTGGAGACCACACTACAGGCTTAGGTAAACCAGGAGTCTATCCAGGTGGGGACATCTCGGGGTAGTTCTCATGCTTCATTGGCCATTCTTACTCAGTACCTGCAAAACATTGACTTAAAACTAAAAAAAAAAAAGGCAGCTGTGAAGAAGCAAAGACAATCTGTGATCTTGTGTCTGACCACTTTTAAAAATTAGAATTCAAGTTGCTGTGCTAACAAAAATATTTGCAAGTTAGTTAAATAGTCAAACCTTTGGAAATTATTTTGCTCTTCACATTAGATGAAATACCTTTAAAAAACTATTGGATTTCATTTGTATGAAATCTCCTGAACAGACAATCCACAGACACAGAAAGCAGGTGAGTGGTCGCCAGGGGCTGGGGCGGGGAAAGGAGGCGTGACTGTTTAATGGGTCTGGGGGCTCCTTTTGGATTGAGGAAAACGTTATCTGGAACTAGACACTGTGATGGCTGCACCATACGGTGAATGTACCAAATGCCACTGAATTGTAGGCTTTAAAATGGGTAAAAGGGCAAATTTTAAATTATGTGTATTTTACTGTAATAAAAAATATATTGTGGGTGGAGGGAGCTGTTGGAAGATTTGAGTGTGCCCTTGATGGATGTATTTATAAGAACCTCTTAGAAACCGGAGTTTGAGTGCTCCTTGTATAGGGATTACTTGTTAATTTAATGACATCCTTTAGGGAGCCCACCGCAGTGGAGACTGGTGGGAAGAGCTTGATATCAAGGGGTTTAACGTCTCATTCATTTATTCAACAAGTATTTACACACTGGGCACTGGGGTGAATTTACCATGCAGCTGATGAAGCACACGTTCCAGGGCTCCGCACTTGCACAGGCCCTGGAAAGGCCTTGAAAGAGGTCCATGCAATTTTGTACTTGTAATTTTGTATTGTTTTCTTAGAGGTTGCCTAACTTGTAAAAATACAGGCCCTACAAACTCTGTTCTGACCTTGGCCAGACTAACTCCTGGAGAATACAATAGAGAACGAATCAAATATGAATCCCATAGTGAACAAATCAGATTTGAATCCCACCATCACTGGCTGACAATCATTTCATGGGCAAGAGAAACATTTGACAAATGTACACACAAATAAACTTGTAATTACAAGTTGTGGTAAGTGCTGTCAGAGAGGAAAAACTTTTCATTTACCCTCTTAGGTTCTGTGGCTGGGCCTGGGAATAAAATTGACCTAAGACAGATTAATAGGAGAAAACACACACATTTTAAACATTATTTAACATTTTTACATGCACATGGAAGCCATCATAGGAGAAATGAAGACAGATCAAAAGAAGCAGATCAAAGAAGCAGATCAGCCTGAGAGCTTATATACCATTTTTTTTTCCTTTTTGTCTTTTTTACTGACCGGCAACGGGATCGCAACCCTCAGTGTTGCGCCTGCACCGCGCTCAGCCAGTGAGCGGGAACCGGTCTCCACATGGGATCCGAACCCTTGGCGGGAGCGCCGCCGTGCTCCCAAGCAGTGCACTCTCCAGTGCGCCACCGGGCCGGCCCTTATATACCATTTTAAATGAAAAGTGATAGAACTGTGAAGTAGCAAGACAAAAAATTTTTAAAAAGGTTTTTGCTTCTAGGGGTGGTAAACTGTAGGGAAGTGACTAGGAAATATATGGGGGAAAACTAATGAAAGATAAGGGTTATTTTAGCAGGTTTGTTCATACAGATCCATTTCATTGTCAACTCCCAGTCTCCAGTGATAAGAAAGTTCTTCCCTTTCTGGTATGGGGAAGACACCTGTTCGTAGGAATTTTATGACCTGCTTTTAGATAGAAGGAGGGAGATTAGAAAGCACTTCCTGCACCTGCTATTTTTCAAGTGTCTTCAGCTCAAAGTGATCAATATGCCGACGCAGCATGTTTTGGGGCAGCATGTTCCCACCCCTTTCAGTGCCATGAAAGAAATGAAGACTGGGTCCAGAAAGAGAAGAGGGGAAGAACCCAATTCTGGTTGGGGATGCAGGGAAGGTCTCTCCAGCGGAAGCTGCAGTTAGCTGGGGGAGTGGGAGTGACCCAGGCAGGTGGAAGAGCATCTGTGAAGGCCTTGAATTGGGAAAGAGCTGGTCACACCAAGGAATGGGAAGGTCAGTGTGGCTGCACCGTGGGGACGAAAGGTGGGGAGAGTGGAGAACAGTGAAGTTAGAGAGGAGATAGATGTGGGTGTGGCAGTGCAGACTAAGCATTAGGGCTTTTATAAAGGAAATGAGAAGCCATTGGAAGGTTTTAAGCTGAGAAGAGAAGGATTACATTTATGTTTCAAAAAGATTGCTCTGGCTGTTGCATGGCTGCCCATATTAGTCTGCTCGAGCTGCCATAACAAAATAGCACAGACTGGGTGGCTTAAACTACAGAAATTTATTTCCTCACAGTTCCGGAGACTGAAAGTCCAAGATCAAGGTGCTGTAGGGGTTGGTTTCTGGTGAGGCCTCTTTTCCTGGCTTGCAGAAAGCCGCCTTCTTGCTGTATCCTCATGTGGCTTCTTTGTGTACGAAGAGCGACCAAGTTCTGGTGTGCGGTCCTCTTCATATAAGGATGAGTTAAATAATTAGGTAAAACTAAACTGTATAGCAAAGACTGAGGAGTTTAAAAGAAAATTGGCAGGGGGAGGAACAAAAAAGGGAAAGAAAAAAAGCAGGGTGTTATTTTTTTCTGCCCAGGTTTTCTAAAATACATGGACCCGTTTTTTTTTTTTTTTTGTCTTTTGTCTTTTTTCCGTGTCCGGCAACGGATCGCAACCCTCAGTGTTGCCCCCGTACCGGACCGGGGACCGGCAACGGGATTGCAACCCTCGGTGTTGCTCCCGCGCCTCGCTCAGCCAGTGAGCGGGAGCCGGTCTGTATGTGGGATCCGAACCCTCGGACGGGAGCGCCGCCGCGCTTCCCAAGCGGCGCACTATCCAGTGCGCCACCGGGCCGGCCCGACATGGACCCGTTTTAAGGACCCATGGGGGGTGGTGGGGCAGGTGGGAGGTGGGTTCCTGATCTTATTTTTCTTTATGTTATTAGAAGAAATAAAGAAAGAACATAGATCATCAGCTCCTTGGAGGAGCCATCTGATCACAAACCTACTGTGCAGGGGCAGGTTTAACATATGACCGAGAGAGTAATAGGCCCTGCCCGGACACACAAAAACCCCTACGAAGACTGCCAGGCCAGCCTGTATGCCCTCCTGCCCCATTGGTCACTACAGATAAGAAGGAGAAATTTGCTCTGGGCCTTCCATTCACTACCACCCAGTGCTGAGAATATAGCCTAAGTCAGGTTAACCAGGCAGCTGGTAGGTAGCCCCAAGATGGTTTCATCCTTTTTGTTTCCTGAAAAGTGTAAATCCTAATTGATGACTGGAATCAGGGCATATACAGTAGGAAATCTGTATTGGTTTATGAAGTTTACTTAAAATTGAAGGAGATTTTATTTGCACTAGAGGCAAATAGATATTTTCTATTGCTTAAACCACAGACATTAAAAAAGTGCTTTCTATCATTTAAAGCCTATGGAGATAGTTTCTGCTGGCAAATCCCACTACTTTAACCAAATTCTTCTACTTGATAATCTAAATTTGATTATTTTGCATCACCAGTACACTAAATGCTTTGTCTTGTTTTCAGGGTATTACTTGCTGGCCAACACGAAGTTTACATCTCAACCTGGCTACATTGGAAGGCTCTATGGCCCTTCCCTACCAGGAAACTTGCAGTATTGCCTACGTTTTTATTATGCCATCTATGGGTTTTTGAAAATGAGTGACACCCTAGCGGTTTATATCTTTGAAGAGAACCATGTGGTTCAAGAGAAGATCTGGTCTTTGCTGGAGTCCCCAAGGGGTGTTTGGATGCAAGCTGAAATCAGCTTTAAGAAGCCTATGCCTACCAAGGTACAGTAGCACATCCTCTGTCCATTTTCCATTGCTGGACTGTGTTAGTGAATCTCTGTTTAGTTACTGTCAGCTGGTGACGTGCTATTTTCCTTCTGTTCAGCCTGACAATCCCACCCCAACACCTTACCCCAGCCACCTACAAGTTAGTCCTTCAGTTCTTTTGCATTTTCTAGGTCTCTGAATCATGGCCATCTGGGGAGTTTGCTTGTTGGCCAGGAGTATGTGAATAGACCAAGTTCAACAGCTAAACTTTAGTTTGAAGCCCTAATTCTCTCTTTTCCACTTTCCCTCCCTCTCTCACACAAACACAGGCACACACCAGTGGGAATTCTAGTATTTTAAAAAGTTGAAATCAGTGAACCTGGTTCTACATTGAGGCTTTAAGATCAACACCCTAAGGTTCTAGCAGAACACAGAAGAGGAAGCTCATTAAAAACTATCGAGTCAACTCTGCCCCCAGCTAGAGGGAATTTACATAAGGGGACCATCAGCCGCTGACTTCCATGGCAATGAGGATACAAAAAGAGATCGTTATTGTGAGGGGAATGCAAAAGAAAGCTGTCATCTCTCAAGCCTAACAGCTCATAAACTTAAGGATCTTGTACAGATGGAATAAATTCTGTCCACTACAACCCAGATATGAAACTAGTGTGGGAAAATCCATTTTATTTTAGCCTGTCAATCAGCAAATATCCCTTGAGTACCCTTTCTGGGCAAGAAAGGAGCCCAAGGAAAGATAAGAAAGTTCCCTTTCTTCAAACAGATAACTCACACAGCAGGAGCTTGATAAATATTGTGGAACAAATGGATGAATCAGTTGAGCACATTCATTATCCAAGAAGTACCCAAAGTCCAGGCTCGCCAGGGGAAGCTATGGACCTAGGAGAGCAGCAGAACCGTCTTCAGAAACATGTACATCCTAAACTTCTCTTAGTTAGAACCATCTGGACAGAATCATAGCCGTGTCTGTCCTTAACTTCTTGCTAAAGAAATTGTGTAAACCATTCCCATCATAAGGTTTTTTAGTTACTTTTAGTTCATTGGAATACCCACCCAAATATGAATAAATCCTCACAATGATTAATCAAAGATCTCTTAAAATTTTTACGGGGGTCTTTTCCATTGCAATCTCCTTGATTTACTAATTTCTAAAAGGATTGAACCAATCTATAATACCTCTGGCAGAATAGAAGCATGCAAGTTTTACTACAGTCTCTAGGCACTGCGTGTTATTATTTCTATGCTAATTAATAGGCAGTGTTGCTGTGGGTATCCCCTGCTTAATTCCATCATAGTTTTATCACCTGACTCAACTGAGCTATTTGGCTTGGCTCCCCAGGCAAGAGAGGAAGCAAATTGGTGTTTCTGATGCCAATTTCCTACTTGTAGCCTAGGCGCTTGCTCTTTAAGCTTATTGCCTAGACAATTCCAAATATTTTCTGAATGAGCCTTTCTTTCTACAAATGTCATCTGATACTTGCAGCATTATTGAATTTCCTCTTTGATCTGTTAGTCTTGGAGCTGTCCAAGCCTTTCTGTACCTCTTAGGGATCCCAAAGTCTTAATTTGTTTCTCATTAACAATTATTTAACTATTACAGGTAGTTATGGCAATACGTACACACATGCACACACACACACACACACGAGCAGACATGCACCAGATTCACACAATCAGGGATGCATTAGAAAGTAATGGACTTTTTGTTACACTCCATACCCTGTTTTGCTGATGTTTTCAAGAAAAAAAGGATATAAAGAAGCATTTTGTTCATTCATTTGGCTTTCATTTATTTATTCATTCATCTGTTTATTCTTTTATTCAACCAGCGTTTATTAGGCATATACTCAGTGCAAAGGATATAAAGATGAATGAGGCTCAGATCCTACCCTTGAGGAGAAGATAACAGGTGATAGAAGATTAAATACATAAGAACCAACTATAGCGCAGTGTCTCTGTCCCACGGAAGGGCTGCATAGAAACACAGAGGAGTAATTCTACCAATTGTTATTACAAAAAATAATGACAGATAGAGACCCAGCTGAGCTGGTGTTTGGAGGGTTAAGATTCAGGCCATACTGGATTCTAACTCCTGCTCATCAGTCCACTACTCTCCCCCCACGTCCTCTCCTCACAAACACTTGGGTTGTTTAAGAATCTGCACGTTCCTCTTGGCATTTTGAAGAGGACAATTCTGCCTTTGTGTGGGGCCATCCCTCACATTACTGAATTTTTAACATCTGCGATTATTGCAACAACCAAAGTTATTTCCACACATTTCCAAATGGCCCCAGAGGTGCCATACCATCCTTGCATGAGAACCACTGTTCTATAAGTTGATTATGAAAATTGACATTAAAAGCCACCCTACTTGCAATCCATTCTTGCTCCCCTGCAATCTCCTCTGTCTGGCACTAGATTTATCACGATGCACCCCTCCCCTGCAGTAACCCTGTGGCTTCCTGTTGCTCCTAGGGAAAAGGCTCTGTGTGCTCTGATATCAGCCACCTCCCCAGCTTTCCCTCTTGCTCTCTCCATTCTAATCACACTGAACAATCAGTTCCTGGAACACTCTCTGTTCTCTCCTATTCTGGGTCCAATTGAATACGAGCCTGAAATACAGTTTTTCTTATGGCTCTTTCCTCTCTTGTTTTCATCATGGTTAGTCATTTAGAACGACAGTTCTTTGTGTTGCATGTTACAATCACTTGGGGCACTTTACAAAACACTGGGTGTGTTTCAGGCTTGAATCCTCCTACCTGCACTCCCTGTTGTTGAATTCTCCTACCTGCATTCTACCTGCACTCTCCTACCTGCAGTCCACTCTCTGGCTAGACTCTTCTTATTTATATCTGAGCTTAAACCTCACTTGCTCAGAGAATCCTTCTCTGACCCCACTCCCCATCCCTGACCAGCGTGGCTGTGTTAGGGTTCCTGGGCATCCTGTGCTTCTCCTTCATCATCCTGGAGACAGCATAACACTGTGATTGGGGACATAGACACAGGAATCTCTCTAGTTTCGAATCCTAATTCTACCACTTACTAGCTATGCCATAGTAGTCAGTTTTCTTTTTTTTTTTTTTTCCTTTTTGTCTTTTTTCATGTCCGGCAACGGATCGCAACCCTCAGTGTCGCGCCTGTACCAGACCAGGACCGGCAACGGGATCGCAACCCTTGGCGTTGCTCCCACACCTCGCTCAGCCAGTGAGCGGGAACCGGTCCATATGTGGGATCCGAACCCTCGGCGGGAGCACCACCGCGCTCCCAAGCGGCGCACTGTAGCAGTGCGCCACTGGGTCGGCCCAGTTTTCTTAATCTTTTTCTTCTTCACTTTTCCATCTGGAACAAAAAATCTAGCAGAATCTGTGCACCTGTCTTGCTCACAGTTGAAAACTGGACTTTTTTGTATGTATATCATAGATATAAACTGTTAAAAAAACCCAAAAGCAAACAAAACAAACCTAACAGTACTTGGCACACATTGATACGCAATGATTGTTTGTTGGCCGACTGTCATATTCTGACTTTTGAGTAGGGGTTGTTGACTCTCGTTAAAATCATTTGGGCAGCTTTTGAAATGCTGGTGCCCACATTTTACCACAAATCAAGGAAAGCAGGCACCGAGATGTTGATTAACATGCAGGAAGTTTATGAAGGTGTGCTCTTGGGGTCACTGCTGAAGGAAGGGAGAAGGAGGCAGCAGGATTAGGCAAGGGAGCCCCTGCGCTGCAGTGCATTCTCAGTGAAGGCCTCAGCTGACCTGCAGGGAGCTCTGAAGCTGGTGTGGCCTTTCAGAGTTGTCCTGAGTTGAGCAATATTGTCTTTATAGTCCTGTGCTGATCCATCATTAGTTACTGGCTAGGTGATTGTAACATGCAGCATAGAGAACCATTGCTCTAATTGACTAACCATGTTAAAATCAGAAAAGGAAATATCAATGAGAAAGACATGTGTTGCAGGTGTATATTCAGGTAAGCCACACTGAAACCAGGCGTGGCAGACCTGCAGGGTCTTTGGTGGCTAAAGGTCTAGGCAGGTGCACGTCTGTGTAGTGTCATGCCCAGGTCCCCCACCCTAAAATGCTGAGAGATGTTCCTGCAACATCACAGCTGGATGAGAACAGACTTGGACGAATGGTCTTCCTGCCCCTAGGTAGCTTTTCCACTATGAGTGACTCAGAAAGCTAGAGTCAGATCTGTCATCCTTGTGTGCACCCTTTAAGCCAGGAAACTCCCTTCAAAGCTTCAGAGATAAGAATTTTCCAGAGATATGACACCAGAACCCATGTGGTTGTTTCCCACATGCGGTTTCTGTCCACAGAGAGTTCATGGTTCTCCAAATATTCTTGCCATTTGGAAAGGAGCTTTAAGTCACAGAGCACAACTGTTAACGGTATCTATCTGGTAGCTTCTATTGGCTATTCTCTATAGTTTAATAACTCAGTATTTATTTTAACTAATTCCAAACTGATGATAACTTAAGAGATTTTTCTGAGCCTATTGAGCTTAGCACATTTTCTAATAGCTGGAATTTGCAATGATTGAGATTCTGAAATGAACTTGCTAGACCTTCTAGAGAGTTCACAGTTAGTTCAACCGGGGTCAGAACAAGGGATAACTGGCTATTTATCAAGTACCTACTTTGTGCCAAGCAGTGTATGCTCTCTCATTTAATATGCTAACAATGACACCATTTAAATCTCCAGGTGATGAGGCCAGTTAGCTCAGTTGGTTAGAGTGCAGTGTTATAACACCAAGGTCCAGGGTTCGGACCCACATATCAGCCAGCTGCCAAAACAGCAACAACAGATCTCCAGGTGAAAAAACCGAAGTTGCAAGAAATTTAAATAGTTTGATTCTTTCTGTTTTCTTGCTGCTCTCCCCAAATTCCAGATAAAATCCTTAAGTGATAACTCCAAGATTCATCTCAAATGTCTCCACTTCTGTCTCCACAGCCAGCACCCTAGTATAAATCATCATTTCTTACCTACTCTACTT